CTTTTCGGTCACTTGTCCCAAGAGAACTCCACAGTTAAGGGTGCTTATGCTGGAGAAGGACTAGGATGGGTGACCTTTCGGGAAGTGATTCCCGAAACCGTGTAAGTGAGGCCAAAACATGGGGAAAGATCATGTGGTGATTACAGGGTCAGTAAATAAGTCCGTTGGGGTCCGGGAAAAATAACGCACTGACCGTCGGACAGAAGCGAGGCCCACGAGCCCGACGGAGGGATGGATGACTCGCCGGAATGGGCGGTCGAGGGCGTTACAAGTGGTATCAGAGCCTGGGAAGTCAAACTGGTTCTGTCCCAGGAGACTGTCCTAGGGTTTGGGGGTTAAGGCTCACACTATCGAGATCAGAATTCGGGGATGAATTCCAGTATAGTGGGGGAGAATTGTAACGATCCGGGCCCGGCCCATTTGAATAAGTTTAAATGGATTAATTGGGCTACCTATATCAGTAAAGTGCACTTATCTTTTCGGTCACTTGTCCCAAGAGAACTCCACAGTTAAGTGTGCTTATGCTGGAGAAGGACTAGGATGGGTGACTTTTCGGGAAGTGATTCCCGAAACCGTGTAAGTGAGGCCAAAACATAGAGAAAGATCATGTGGTGATTGCAGGGTCAGTAAATAAATCGGATGGGTGACTCGCCGGAATGGGCGGTCGGGGACGTTACAAGTGGTATCAGAGCCTGGGAAGTCAAACTGGTTCTGTCCCAGGAGACTGTCCTAGGGTTTGGGGGTTAAGACTCACACTATCGAGATCAGAATTCGGGGATAAATTCCTGTATAGTGGGAGAGAATTGTAACGATCCGGGTCCGGCCCATTTGAATAAGTTTAAATGGATTAATTGGGCTACCTATGTCATTAAAGTGTACTTATCTTTTCGGTCACTTGTCCCAAGAGAACTCCACAGTTAAGTGTGCTTATGCTGGAGAAGGATTAGGATGGGTGACCTTTCGGGAAGTGATTCCCGAAACCGTGTAAGTGAGACCAAAACATAGAGAAAGATCATGTGGTGATTGTAGGGTCAGTAAATAAATCGGTTGGAATCCAGGAAAAATAACGCACTAACCGTCGGACAGAGGCGGGGCCCACGAGCCCAACGGAGGAATGGATGACTCGCCGGAATGGACGGTCGGAGGCGTTATAATTTGCCACACGGGGTTTGGGGGCGTATAATGGATACAAAAATTATTCTCTTTTTTACAATAATAAATTGACGTATATTTTCAGGGTTTTCACATATCTTGAAATAATTTTATAAATAATTATTTATTATTTTCATAAGAAGAAAACAAAATTCACACAGACACAAAAATAAATAAATAAGATATAATATGAAGTAGAAAATTAGTTATGCATAGAAAATAGATAAATTAAAAGAATATACATTTTCAAAATTTTATTTTTAAAAACATATATCAATTTAAAATGGTATAGTATTTTTTTTTATCTATTTTGATATTGGGTTTTGGAACTTATATCTATAGCGTTCGTTATTGTTTATTCACACAAACGTACAAAATATAAGTTAGTCTATTAATGGGAAATAGCTAATTAAAAATGAATCATTGGAATCTAGTACTTAGGTGCCTTCTTAGGTTTTGGAAGGGATAGATAAGGTTTTTGAAGGGGCATTGTCACTTTCATGTAAATGCTTTGCGTTTCTTAATCACCAAAAGTTATTCTTATTACAATAAACTACACATATTAATGTAGAAAATAATAGAAAGAAACATCTTCAAGAAAATGTAGCACTTTGTTTCATCAGCAGACATAACTCAGAAGAGAGATGGGACCTCAGATGTCATATGTGGATTGGATGGACCTTAATTAAGATTTGACTCCCACAAATATGAATTTCCTTCGACAGTAACCTCTTTGAGCACTATTTCGCATCACTTTGATTTTAGCTCAACATTCGTCCAAGTTTGACGGCAGTGATGCAACCTTATATAATACAATAGACAGATCTAATTAAGTTTCAGTTTCCGCTTGTAGCAAGGAGGAACCGACAACCGATGACTGGTCATACATACCACAAGAGTTCATTACAATTCTCATATTATCAAAAATATGTATACACACATAGATGTTATGTATTTGATTAACAAAGGTACACACTTATTTTCAGAGTTATATTTGATTAACAAAGGTACACACTTATTTTCAGAGTTATGTTAGATACGTTTGTGAATTATACTTATGTTACAAACAATCTTTTGGACAAGGATTATGCCAATTACAAATAAGTGTGTGCACTATCACTAATCACATCTTGTTTAATATGCAAACCTCAACCATAGAAATCATAGATTTTGTCAATTATTACATTTTGCCTTTGTTCTTTGATTTTGGCGTTAGAAAAAATATTCGAAAACATCCTACTAACCTGTGTGAGACTATTTACCACCATGGTCCATGTAAATGATTGAATTTTTAAGAAACATCCGGGGGGAACATAAGGAAGAAAAAAATTTGCACCTATGTGTGTATACACATGTTTTTTTTTTGTTGATGGATATTACAATATAAGAACCTTTTAATCTCTACCTCTAGTAGTACCTAAGAGAATAGTCAAACCGAATCTAAAAGTATCAAATCTAGTATTTACTGACTTGTAATCTAGTCACGCAGCTATATAGGTGGCCTTTCACCAGCCAGCATCTTAAACTACGTTATTATTGACATCATTCTTCTCGGATTATTCTATGAACTGTGTCACATTTTACCCTTAAAATAATCCAGACATATACTTTTGTCGCCTTTGGTTACTTTTTCTTTGTCAGTTTATATAATGTTTATAACCGAATAAAGTAACAATGGATAAACTTTGTTGGGGACCTACAAGCATGTGGATATATATAAGTCGGTACTCCGACATAATATCCTATCTGGCCAATATCTAAATTTGTTGACCTTACACTTATTATTTACTATAACATTCATTACTAACCAAAGAAAGTGATTTAGTGACAAATTTCGAATGTCGATGACAGCTTCTTGTTTTATCACGTGGCTAGCAGTGCACAACCTTGCGGTGCAACTAATATTTAAACTCAACAACTAAGTTATTTAATAAAATTTCAAAAAAAAACTAGGTTATTTAACAAATTATCCCTTAAATCTATAGCAAAATTACATTGATGGAACATGAAAAAGAAAGACACCACATGTGTTGGACACGAACAGAGATATATAAAATGGGTTTCGCATAATTTGTCGGCGATTTTAACTATATGAAAAAAGAAAAGGAGAACAACACCGTCCCAAATTTTGTCACTTGTATTCTTTTTCGACGTGGGAACAAATGTTTCTTCGTCTCCCTTTTCTATAACTTTTCTTTTCGACGTTTCTCTATTATGAGAACTTATCAGCAATTTCAAATTTTCATCTCCACCCTTTTTTTTGTTTGTTAGCGATATTCATATCCACACATATCTGGAAAATCAAATGTGTGTTGTCAAAACTTAATTAGTAATAAAAAACTTAATTAGTACGAAGACGAAAAACTATGCAACGTACGTTATGCACAAACTGTAAACCCCATTCTTTTCTCACTTATGGGAGAAGCCATGCATGAACTAAATCCATGAATAATTTCAATATTTTAGGTGATCAACAAAAATAAAATAAAAAATTTTGAAACTGACAAATACCGTAAGTACTGATTTTTTTTTCTTTTTGTTGAAATGTGAAATTTGTTATTCAACGAAGAAAAAATAATTTACAAAAATCTAGGTCAATTTAATCATGAGAACTGAAATAAGAACCAGCTTAGCAAGCAAACAAAAAACAGAGCAAGAGCATCATGGTACTCAAACGCAATGTCGTCCGGATGAAAACGGTATACGATCCTATAAATCCAAGGTACGTACTGAAAAATTGAAACCTCGGAAATGTTGTAAATCGGGTATACTAAACCTGCAAAACTTAGCACAATGAAGATACTCATGAAAATATTTTGACTTCTAAAATAATAACTTTCTGAAATGTTTATAGTTTTTTCTTTCAATTCCTACCAGCATATATGACTCATCTCAAACTATCTGTATATCACATAGTTTTAAAATTATTGTTTCATGTTGTAAGAAATAACTTATTCGCTTATATAAGTTGCGCACCTGTAAACATGGTTCTTCTATATTGATATATACATACAACAGTACTATAAATGCTACTAAAAGTGTAAAATAATGTATCATACAATATACCGTTTCTTTTCTTTTTTGGTAGTTGAAATAGGTTTCCTTTTTTGTTGAAATTAATAAAATAAGATAGGTTTCTTTTGTTATATACAATTGACCATCATAGTACACCTAAAATCCATTATAAATAACAAAATCCAAATAAAAATAATATTCATATACACACACTACTAGCCTATAAACTATAGAGAAAATGCTCTAAACTATAAGGCTAACCTTCGAGCAGTCTCGCATGAGAATCTGGGTTGGTTGAAATTTTAAATTTATACCTTATGTCGAACTTTTTTAGATTCTAGATCAACCATATATACATGTAAAGTAAATTCTTAATGGTCCCTAAAAGGCTAAAATATAGACTTCCCACCTGAGAATTTCGATCGTTGGATTAGTTGAATAACCCATATCGTAGTTAATGCTTTTTGTGTCCGTGCATATGAGTTTTATAATCCAAAAATATGAGTCGGATTTGGCTCTCTTTGTTGTTGATTCCATCATGGTCTCTCCACTGACTCAAACTACTCAATCCATAACATGTTCAACACATTTTGTGTCTCTAATTATCTATAAATAGAAAATATCATTGCACACAAGTCATCACACTCTCTCAACTTCATCTCATTTTACATCTCTCTCTCCCTCCCTCTCTCTCTCTCTTTCCCTCTCTCTCTCTTGCTCAATCTCCTACAAACACCACACGTTACCTTTCTTCTCCTTATTCACCTGTTATGGCGAATTTAATACTTAAGCAATTTCTTATCATACTCCTAATCATATTCTCCTCACCAATCATGAGTACTCAGGCTCGAATCCTCCATGCAGATCGTGTCCCAAACATGGGCAATATGGATAGTCAGGTTCTCCTACGTGAGCTCGGGTTCGATCTCTCCAAGTTCAAAGGTCATAACGATAGGCGGTTTTTAGTGGATTCGGACAGGGTTTCACCGGGAGGTCCTGACCCGCAACACCACTGACTGGTGGTTACGGATATATCATATATGTACTTTATCGAGATCCAAGCACAAATAATTGTGACTGATCCATGCAAGTCATTTGAATATCGCTAAATTTATATGCTTTTTTTTTTTCTCTCTTTTTTTTTTTTCTTCATAAATCTTACGTACAATTTTGTTGTATCAAGGTTTTGGTATTCTTGTACCTCCTTTATCTTCATACATCAAACTTTTCCTCTGTATGTTTTCGTGTGTCTCCAATGAGTTACCTTTTATGTAACAGCAATTGGCTTATATTGTTATAAATAATGTTCCCTGGTCTTTTTCTTTTGAGATTTACCTTTTCATTTTATAGTGAAAAAAATAAAGGTAGAGTTGTAGAAAGTAATGACTGAAAATTAGCACGTCAAAATACATATGATAAAAACGATTATTGTATAGTGATTTGATGGCCAAACTATTGGTAAATGTACTTAAATGATATGTGATCTTCAAGATTCAAGATATACTCCGGAAAATCATATATCTAGCTTTATCATTTTATCTAATTCACTTTCGAAGGGAATAAGAGCATGTTGTAACCAAGTGTTTGTATTCTATTAGTTTCATCGTATTATTTAATGTCGATATATTCGAGTTTTACGTACTGGATGCATTCTGTTGAATTTGTAGAAACAGTCTGTTGCACTTTTTAAAAAATAGTCTCGCCGACATCAAAGTTTCTGTGAGTTGAGAGGTTCAATTAAGAACTTTGACAAATTAACATAATATTCTCCACAAAAAGATTCTTCTTGACGCGCGCACACATGTCTATATATGTTCTCTTGACTTCATTTGAATGTACTTATTTATCTATTAATAATATTCTAGTCTTGACATTCTCATATATATTAGACAAAAAAAAACTTCGACTTACATCAATATTGGTAGATACGTATACATATATATTCCCTTTGTCATGCAGCAGGATCAAAAACCCTTTTTGGATAAGGATATAATCATATAAAACATGAAAGCGGTTGTTTGAAATCTTTATATTTTACGACATAGTTTTTGGAAGATATGATTCAGTCATGAGAAAATAAGAATATTGGAATGTATCATTTATCCAGAAAATGGGCCTGATACTACGTTTCTTCTTGAAATTGAATGCACTTAAAAGATAATTGGGCCTTGTTCACTTTTCTTCTACGGCAACATGATTGTTTATCCAATTAATAAACCTACTTTAATAAATAGCCCACGAGATAAATAGGCCTTGTTCATTTTTCTTCTACGGCAACATGATTTCTAACCCTCAACTTTATTGTTTAGACCCTTTTGCATAACACAAGCTTGTTTATTTGTTTATTGTTTATCAACTGTTCATCGAAATACATTTTTTACCGAGGGTGTAACATTACATTTACTATAACAAAATATGAAAATTACAATTTAGTTTACAAGATAACAAAAATAAAATAAAAGTAAAATATAACGGTAAAATAAAAACTTAGAAATAAAAGGAAAAAAATAAAATAATAAAGAGTAAAATAAGAAGATAAAAGAAAGATACAAATATATATAAACACAAAAAAGGTCAAGAGAACGTTTAAAAAAATATATTTTAATTTGTTAATACGAAACTTTTAAATTTGATAAATAAAGAATGTAGTAGTAATAGAAAAGCTAAAATTTTGGAAGTAATAAATAAAATAAACAGTCAGTGAGGGCAATGAAATTAGAGTAACGGGAGCTCAAGGAAAGAATAATAAAAATTAACTAACATAATCATACATTACCTTAACTATTGTTTATAAATACCGAAAATAAAAAAATATTTGGAAATGACGTCAGCATTCAGGTTGATGAGTATTTATTACGGAGATTATTAAATATTATTATCTACCAAATAAAAAAAAAAGTGACGCGTTGTTGTTAGTTGAGTTAAGCCAAACCACCGCGTCTCTCTCGAAGACCTTTTTAGTTCCTTTCTACCTGCAAACGAAGAAATTTCACAAGACGACTCATCACGAGACTGTTGAATACTACTATCAGAAAACTCGCCGGAGAAGCCACCATGTGCGACGATGACTGCCGTCCTCTCGGTTTCCTCTTAGGTCTCCCCTTCGCCTTTCTCTCTCTCCTTCTCTCCATCGTCGGCGTCGTGATCTGGATCGTCGGGTCAGTTCTCTCCTCCCGAGATTCCTCTCTTCTCCCACTTTTTTCGCCTCTCTTTACTTTCAATTTCTCCTCCTATTACTAATTTCTTCCTGATGCTTAAGTACCGAGATTCGTGTTCTGAAATCTCTCTCTCACTGATTTCACATGCTTAGATTTTACAATTTTTTTTTTCATACGAAATTCGAAAATTCGGTCTCCGTTGAGTTGATTCATGGCTTGATACATGAAGTAATTGGAATTTTTGGATCTCTGGTGAATTTTTTTTCTTTTTTCTTTTTCTGGCAGATTGTTGTTATCATGCATATGTCCCTGTTGCTTATGCGTGACTATACTGGTGGAGATGGCATTAGGTTTGATCAAAGCCCCAATTCATGTTATGAAGTGGTTCACCTCAACGATACCTTGTTGATTAATCTTTCTTCTAAATTCGTTCTCCTTCTTTCATGTACATATAAATAAAACCACTTTCATTGTTACAAATTCTATCTTCTTATTGGCGTTTGTTTTTATGTACTGGTGAAAGAAAAGAAAAAAACTGAGATTTGCTGCCTCAGATCTTTATTGTTCTTGGTTGAAAAGGGATTCGTATTCATGGTACTTTGCATTCGTCTTCTTCTTCGTCTTCTTCATCATCATACTTTACCCTGTCTCCGTTAAGCTTCCATGTCCCATCATCCATTTGAACCATCCCTTTGTTCTCAAGAACCCACCAGTTCCCAGGAATTAAGTACTTATCCTGAAGAGCATCTAAACCTTTGTTGACCAGCGCGATATCTCTGTTGATCTCCAGCTTAAACTCAGCTTGATTTTGCTGTGTCCCCGCAACGCCGTGCAAGTAAGCCTCGAGGTTATGGAAATGCTTGATGTTTAGAGACCGTTTCAGGTACTCTGACTTCAATGTGTTGATCTGAAGCTCCTCGCCCACGTCTCTGAACCTGAACACCGGGTAACGCGGGATGATATCCGGTACGTTCGCTATTCTCAATATGTGGAGTTTCTTGAAAGACTCGACGAGTCTTTTGAAGCTGAGGTCGCCGATTCGAGGACTCCCGAAAGCGAAAACCGTAACGCAGGAAAGCCTGTTTTTGAGACTTGGTTTGGCCTTAGGCCATTCGTTGTGGAGAAAGTCTGTCGCCGATAGAATCGAGAGAACTGCTCCTAAGCTATGGCCTGTTAAGGTGAGGGTTACTTCTTCATCTTTGTACAATTCTAGTAACCTTTTGAGCTCTCCTTGAACCTGAAACCCAAAACAGAGCCAAACCAATGGAAAAGGAAGTGATAAACCAAAACAGACGTGAGTTAGGAAAAGGGAACATGTTCTCTTTGAGAGACCTGTTCTTGTGCACTGGTCTTGTCGAAACGCGACCGTGGATCAGCGGTTGTGTAAAGAGAAAGCCAACCATTGGCAACGCGAGGCGGGTCATTCGGGTCGGTTCGAGGGAAAACAGAGATGGCTGATTCGAGCGGGAAATCGAAATCGTTAGCCCACTCGTACAGTTGAATGGTGCCTCGCCATGCTACAACAATGTCCCTCCTCCCTAACAACGCCTTGCCTTCGTCTGTAGACACCGCGATGTAACCTAACCAGTTAGACTCTTTGTTCCATGCCTCTCTCGACAATGACTTGATTATGAAACATTCCGGTAACCTTATCGACGACGTTCCATATATGTACTTGGTCACCTCGTACCTGAAATGATACCATTTTTTTGTCACATAGAAACTAAACCGAAACAAGTAGATGTACGTGTATTACCTGAAAGGATTGGCTTTGAGGTAGCCGGTTCGAGCAAAGAGCTCTTCCTTGGTGAAGCAGCTATCTCCTACGTATTTTGATCGTCGGTCGCTATTAAAGGCAACGTACCCGACCTCAGCCATGTCGCCGTAGTGGAGGATATAACGGCGGAGATCCAAGTCGAGAGGATCAAGAAGGTCTTTCCATTTGCTATTGCCGCTCAATTCCTTCCATCTCTTAGCGATGTCTCCCACCATTTTCACTTTTTTCCTCTGATCCAAACCTCTTCCTCCTCCACTTTGAGGCCTTGTCAAATTTGTGGGAGTTCTCAAATGTTTGGATAATATATGCGTGAAGTATTGGTACTTAATACATGCTATTCACATGAGTTTTGCCTTATGTTAAAGACACTAAAGTGTATATACGCACGTTATAATATTTGGAGAAAAGTAAGCCCATAATGTAACTAGTATTAATGTTAATTACATTGAAAGAGTTAATTGACAAAGGAAGAATCTGAATCACAATCACAAGTATCCCTCAAATTTTTGGTAGAAAAATCAAATATGTAAGAAACGAGGACTATGAAGTAAGAGATGCGTAGAGAAGTAGGTTCCAAGTGTCAGGGAGACCAGGGAGACACCAATGGCTACAGTCTAGACCCTTTGCGATACCATTGTAGAGACTTGGGTGTGCGTCTTTGCGATACTCGGAGAGAGTAGTGAGATCAAGAAGACGGACCGGTTTCTTGATTCGGCTCAACACTTTGTTAACCACGATCCAACCTAAGGGCAGTCCTCCTGGATATTTTTGTCCCATGAACGGCTGAGTTTGGCCCTTGCACGATTTCAACGGTTCGTTCCACAGTCTTCCGCTATTTTGAGACACGATTATAATGTTTTGAACATGTATACGTCAAAACTCATCGGCTTTCAAGTCAAAACATTACTATTATTTTGAGTCTCGTCTTATTTCTCATTTAAGATTCCGCGAGTAAAGAAAACTTACTCGTAGTGGACAGGAGAAACACCTTGAAAGAAGACTTGAGTGCGTGAAGGGTCAATGTTATGGTTAATCCAACGAGCCCATGTGTTTAGTCCTTTGTAAAAAGCCACAAGCCTGTTCATGTCTTTGTACAGCTTGTTTCCTTCCCTCATATAATCCCACCTACCAACCATTATTGAACATTTTTAACTAACACGCATATGTATAACACTATAAAAAATAAGAGTCAAGTTAAAGAGAAAGAAAGAGAGGGTTTAGGGTTAATTAAGGTGATCGTACGGCTGGATTCCGTCGGTGTGAGTCCACCAATGCCACGAGTTGAAGATCAGAACGTCCATGCCAAGCCAAGCATTGGCTTCTTTGATGGAGTCAAGAACAAGCACTCGTCCTGCCTTTTCTTGAACCACGTCTACTAGAAACTGTGTTCTGTACAGAAGTATTGTCACTCCATATTCCTGCCAATTTTATTTATTTATTTCAAGATATATAAGTATTAGCTTAATAACAATCAAGATATTTACATCAAATGACATCAGTTGATTGATTTTCTAAATGATTTTCTAATCAAGCCGTCGATTGAATTTTTTATTGAGCCAAAATAGAGAACGACACGTAAACCTAATGAAGAAGCTAGAGATGGAAGTCAGCTCCAACGGAGACAGACTTGTCACTGTTTAGTCACTGTGTAGTTGTTAATATATGGGGATCCCCCGAAAACATTTAAAATTAAGTAAAAATAATTAATAAAATTCGTGAAGGCCCCCACTTATTACGTACTAATTGATTATACACTGCTGATTATATAAACGACAAAGAAGAAGGAGACGTTCACCTAAGTGGTTATCAAAATCATTTTGTACATTGGTGTCTTAATGATCCTATCTGTCGTTTATGTTTGGTTCTATTGAAAAGTCTATTAATTAGAAAGCTTAATTAATTACTACGTACGACTTATGTCAGAATGGTCCATTTTTTCAATTCTCATTACCTATAATTGTATTGGCCACAAAAATACTATCCACACAAATTGCATAGTATAATAATTAGCCTCTATATAGGATTATCTTAAGCAAACCAATTTTTTAAAAAGAGAATCATTTTTTTTAGAACAGAATCATTTTCAGAAGGTAAATCGGATGGTGACGTTGTAGGAACTCTTTTTCAACATCAATGTGGAATATTGCGCAGTCATATCTCATATACTATATAATCTTTATATTTATTATTATATGACAAGTCTTTGATCTATCGGAACCCGAATTCAAAGGAATCTGACATAGCTACGTATCTGATCTTCATTTGGCATAGCATTAATTATATCATGCAGGCACTTTGCATGATTTGTTCTCATCTTTTTTTTCTCTTTGATGTAATCATGTAAAATTAAATCCCTAAAACCAAAAGAGAAAACCGAAAACAAATGAAAGTAGAGACAACATTACTATTTAAAAGTTCCAGATTGGAGTCAACTGCTTAATTATATGGTTATTAACAATTTGATTCCTTGTTAAGTGATTTTTAAGATCAGTCGATGAACAATTTTTACATAATAACTACTAATTTAACCGAAAAAACTAATTTATTTAAGAATCATTTCAAAAATAGTTTACACAAATACGAATTAATCATAAATTTAAATTATTTATATTCCTTTTTAGTTTTAGGAGAGGTCAAAACTTAAAAGACCCTTTCTATTATTTGACTATTTTTAAATAATTAATTAAACATGTTATTAGTTTCATTAATTAACTTAGAAAATGTGTTAGGTAATTTCTGACTAGGTTGATGATAAATCATGAAGTTCTGAACAAAGATTCTTCTACAAATTAATAATTTAAGTAGGTTTCTACTTTATCGTGGTGTTTTGTGTTCACTTGATAAAGCAAGGATCTTTTGTAATATCAAGAAAGAATGGCCAAAAATATCAAAGAATCAAAAGGAGTTCTCTGAAACGCTTACTTTTAAGTGAAGCTACTGATATTTCAAAATAGAAACAAAACAAAAGAAAACACAACAAATAAGGTAAGATATTAAAAAAAAAACAAAAAAAAAACAAAACCTGGAAAGTGAGGGAAGTGAGAGGTTGGCTTCGACGAAGAGAGTACTTAGCATTAGGAAGAGAAGCGTGAAGCAAGCATGCCAACGATTCGAACATATTAAGACTCAGTGAGTCACCAACCATCATTATCTTCTTCCCTTTCATTCTCCTCATAAAATTCACCCCATCGAATCTGAAAATTCGTATCATTCCCAACGTATTTGTTAATTTCTCATATGTGAAAAAAGATGTCTTATAAACTTCAATTACATATTCTTCGCTACTACTAATTTCACATAACGACTCGATTTGCAAAACCAAGAAGATATTAGTTAGATTTTTCAAGTTGGTTCTTTCGATAGCAAAAGAATATTTTTTTTGACGCACAATACAGACTTAAGTCTCGAATCTTGATAGTTTGTTCATGTAATGTGTATATTTTGCTTTATCAAATGAACTCATAATCTGTACCATCATATTAAACAAAACCCATATGTTAATTGTGAACGTAAATAGCAAGAAACGTCTGGCTTTATAAAAAAATGTCTAAATATATTAAATGCAAACACATAAATCGAAACCTTAGTTTTTCTTCTAACTAGTTAAAATTTTAATATATGTGCAAAGTACCTGGGAAGAGAACATGAGAAAGGTTGCCATCGGAAGTGTTGATAGTTAGTGTCAGGTCGACCCGTTTTCTGGCAATTGAATTCAGGGTCGATGAAGGGACAAGAATATGGACTATAGAGAGGATATGAAGAATCATAAACCCATTTTCCACTAAACCAGTTGCATGATCTCTCTCCGCTCAACAAATTTGTGTTGTTTTGTCCCAAGAAATGTTGTTGAGGTTGTGCTAATAGTTTAGGGATTGAAGAAAAGAGTATGAGAAACAGAGACGCTAAGAAGATGGGTTGGAAACAGAGTCCCATTTTCGTTTGAGGTCGCCAAGAAAGAATGATCAACTTATTCTTCAAGCCTCAAGCTTTTTTATTTATAGATACAAAAAAGTATTCTTTTTTTTTTTATCTACAGTGAATTTTCTTGTTTCATTTTTGTGTACATACATATTTTATTTCAGTCGTAGACAATCATTAGGCTTAAGCTATACTTTAAGCGCTGATAAAAGTAGTTTGAAAAAAAAAACCACTGTTTAATATAACAGTGAATAAAAATTGGAATCTTCTTACAAAACTGAACACCTGACAAACCAAATTTCATTTCTCTCACACGATAGTTTTAAAAATAACCAAGTTACTTCATAATAAGCTATATATATATATATATATATAAAGAAAATCTGAAGAAAAAAAGAATCAAAGTAAACACTATAGTATCCACTCCTTAAAAAGTACTACCATCTACCTAGTAGTATAAAATAAGTCAAAAACATTGATGTCACTACAAGCATTCACGTATTGGTTACTGAAAACAAGATTAGTTTCATTCATATTAAAAGTTTTGTTTATTTCACATCAATCACATTTCTCATTTTCATAAACCTTTTAAATCTTTTTCAACGGTATATATTTGATCTGCGCAGCCATTGGTGAACAAGCATGTTGTAAGAGAATGAAAAGACAAGGATGATGATATATATAGTTGCAATTTGCACATGTTATGATGGGTTTTAGGGTGGCTTGCTTTTGCCAACTAGACCACTTAAATCAATATTTTTTTCCTTATAACTAACCTTTATTAACCTATACCTAACCAATGCTTTTTATGATTTTATCTTTAGGTAATTCATTGAATCTAACTGTTTCAAATTTGATTAGTTATACAAATTAATGTGGAGGTGTAAGCATCAATTCCATACTCATTTGGACACCTTCTAATTCAAATTCTTAATGATTATACATACCTTCATTAACAAGCTGTGATTCAAATAAAAGAAAATTCCAATATCAATTATTCGTTCATCAACAAATTCAATTATTACTTTAACCGTCGAGTTTATTAATTATCATAAAGATTAAACGTATTTTTTTCTCTCTTGCCAACCTATAAAAAACAAGAAAATAAATACAGAAATAAAACAATAAATTAGCACAATAGGCTGAAGATTCTTCTGTAGGGGGTTGCTGGATTCTGAAACTCTTAGAAAATTATTTGCGAAAATGACTATAGTTTCCTGTTTGAATAGATATACGGTTGTGATTGCCCCAAACTTTTATTGGATTAAAAATAAAATAAAAAAATCGAAATGAAAAAAGATAAGGAAACGAAGTGGAGTGGTCCTTAGGAACAAAATGGAAATGTAAAATAGACGAAACAAGAAAACAATTATTACACAACCACCATGGGAAAGACTTTTTGTGCCACAGTCTTTACAGATGCAAACAATTTATGAAAACATTTTTGTACTTGAAATCATAAAGAGTTTAATATATAAAGTTTCGATAAAGATAAGGGCCTTTTCCTTATTTCTTATGTAACCCAGAGCAAGCTTTTAAGCTGCTTCTTCTTATGTTTTTGCTTATACATATTCTTTATTTACAAAGAGAGAATGCTTAATTACATATCATGTGTATTCACATTTTTACAGAAGCTCCCATTCAGATTCCTCCGATGATCGGTTCTCCTCTATCGGTTTCGGATTATCGCCACATTCTCTCCCATTTTCGACATCTTCTGCGTACCATTGACGCGCAAGTCGTTTGTATTCTTTTTCTCTGTTTTGCTTCATTCTTGAAGATATAGCGTCTCTGATCTTCTGTAGAATCAGTTTATTATAAGGCGTTGTTATTTTCAGCATGATGGTTAAATGCAAACATGAAGCAAAAGAAAAGAGAAAGAAAGAGACACGAACCTTGTAAGGTTTGTGTTTGTCATTCTCCTTCCTGTCAGGAAACACACAATGGAGTTCGTCTCTATCCACAATGATACAGCTTTCTTCAACTGATCTTCCACTAAGCTGTTGGAGAATCTCTGATTTCTTCTCTGAGACAGAACTCGAACTTGTTTTCAAATCTGTTTCCTTTCTGCAATCTGAATAGAAAAAAAACCATAACCAAGATTTGAGTGTATCAAAGCTTGAGCAATTTTCATCATTTTTGCATTCCATTCTCAATGCAAGCAGCAAACAATGATAAGGGATCACATGATAATCAAATTGTCAAATGATACTGAACCTATGTGTTGTGTTACTAGATATGATTGTACAAAGATCAAGTTTAAGATTCCATAGTTCAAAAGAAACAATCGAGAAGCAAAATGAGAAATGAAAAGCTTTACCACCAGATCCTGCAGGTAAGCTAGTGGCAACAGATGTTTGGATCTCTGCATCTTTACTTCTAACAGAATTAACCACCGTAAGACCATTCTCATTTTCGGTTCTAATCTCTGAATCTTGACTTTTAACAGACTTAACCACCGTAAGACCATGCTCATTTTCGATTCTAGTCTCTGAATCTTGACTTCTAACAGAGTTAACCACTGTAACACCATGCTGATTCTCGGTTCTATCGTCTTTCTGACATTCCTCTTTAGAGATGAGTCTTTTTACTATAACTGGAGGAGAATCACTTGACTTTACAGCTCCAACATCATTTCTGACCCGAGTTCTGTGAACCATTGATAAACTACTCGAGTCTTTCTGTACATAAGGCCTTGTGACTTGAAAAAGCTCCTCTTTTTTAAAGATGTGGTTGCGGCCGAGTCTCGTTCTTCTATACGGACCATACTGCCTTGGAGAAGTACAGATATCGTAATCATCTGCATCAACACCACGGAGCTTCATCGCACATCCATCCTTCTTCCCCTCAGCTACCTCTTGCTCTTGCTTGTGCTTCACATCTCTGTTTTTGCGGTTCGTGCTCTCTCTTTTCTTCTTGAAGGAACAAACAGGTGCGTATTCATGTAACATAGCAACCGGGATCGGTTTCTCCGAATCTACAGAGTCATCTGGAAGCAAATCTCCAACCACATCCGAACAGAACTTCTTCACAGAGTTTCCAACAGTCTGAACTTGGTTCTCAACGTATTTTGCTGTATCCTGAAAAAAACATAAAGAAGCAAACCAAAGAGTTAACTTCTATCGCAATCATAAATGTTTACACAACGAAAAGCATTTACCTGCACGATGATTTCTTCAACCTCCAAGCACATTGCTTCAAACTTCTGGTACACATTTCCAACCCATGCTATACCTTTAAAATCCATTGTTTCTATAAACCCAAGAACGTTCTTGTGTGAGTCCTGTCACGGGAAATGAATTCCAACGAAAAAGGAAGTTCAGAGAGAGAATAAGCATATGCGGTTTCGTACACACAACATCAATGGTTTAGTAAGAGAAATAGGATAGCAAAAGAATAGAAAAGAGCTATATGTTGGTGTATATATAAGATATAAAAGACTGTTGCTTTGGCTATTATATCAGAGAGATTATGCAAGCTAACATGGCTAATGCAACTTCAAAGCAAACCCTTGCATAGGTGTTTCCACCAATGATCGATTTTCCCCAAATCCTAGGAGCCTTTTAGACGCTTTCTTTCTAACAAAAACAAGTTCCTTAAGAGATAATAAAACATATACATGTATCCTATGTTGTATGATCTTTAGACTGCAGCAAAAAGCTATCTCTCTGTATTCACATGTTTCTATTGCTCTAAGAATTCAGCAAAACCCTGTTCTTAAGTCACAGAAACTTTGAAAAAACCCAGAAATAGAAAGTTTTAAATTGTAAACAACACCAAAGAAATGAAGGATCATGTGACAAAAGCTCAAGAGAGACTACTTTTATTTTGTGTGGAAAAACAAACCAAAAAAATCAAGTTTTTAGATCATTAAAACGAACAGCTGAAATGCTTATAAAAGATGAACTCAGTCTTCAATTAGCAAAAATTTAAATTGAGGGATTTAAGAATTTAAGCTTGCTAAAAAAAATCTGAAAAGAAAAAACAAATTATGTTATAAAAATCAACCAATTTCCTCGGCGAGAGAGAAGCTTACTTTGTGAACTTCGCAACCCAAAACTTAGGGGGAAAAAAAGAGAAATTCGCGACGAGTGGAAAAAAACGTGATCAGGAAGAAGAAGAGGAAAAACCCTAAAACGTGGAAAACCTCTTTTGCAATCAATCAGAAATCGAAAAGAATAATTCTTAGAATAAGGTAAGACAGGGGAGAAAGAGAGAGAGAGAGACGGATCACTAACCTCAAAGCAACGTACAAGGATCAAACCCAATTCTGGTTTCTCACTCGATTGAGATTTTGTGGGGTTTTCGTGAAAGATTAGAGATTGAGTAAGTTACAGCGATGAAGCAAGAAGCAATGGCAAAAACTTTAAAAGCTCTCTTCTTTTACAGGAGAACTCCGGGTTCGTGTTTTACCCACCCGGTTTCGTCTTTATCGGGGCCCAGAGATTGCGTTGACAATTTTTTATTTTTTTACATATTAATAAGGGAAAAATAGTGAAACATCTGCTTTTCTATTATAACACGTGGCAGGCAAGTGGGATTTGTGTTGATTCATCCATTCCACAATTGGATTCGTATGCAATCACAAACGTTTCATAGTTATTATAGTAACACAATACATATACACTCTCGAGTTTTGTTAGATTTCTTGTGTGTTCATGTAATAAATGACTAAACCCTTGGGGATCCAAGGACGCAAAAAGGTTGAGAAAAATGTACAAGCGATTCGTTGACGTTCTCGTCAAATGCATGAGACCTTAAAAACACTTTTGATCTTTAACAATTTACCGAATCTTACAACCACATTATATTCTGCATCTGAAGATTATTCTATTACAAATTATTCCCATCATCATCTATATATTCTTGACTTTCTTGTAAATCCTCTCAGATCTGAGTTTCTGATTATTGTCTGTGGCTAAGGGTGGGCAAAATATCTGTTGTATCCATTTTGAACCGATATTTGCTTTGATCAGATTCGAAAAATCCGAATATCTGTAAAGTTTCGGAGCAAATCAAATAGCAAAATGTAGTATCCATACAAAACGGAGCAAATCACAAATATGTTTTTAGACAATATCAGATATCCGATCTGATCTGTATCTTTATAAAGTTATTATATATTAGTATATTATCATGTGTATATCAACTATATTATAATTTTTTTATTAATATACTTTCGATTTTCTTTCTAAATTTTTGATTATTTCTAAATTATTTTGATTATATAAAATAAATGACTAAATAATCAATCATAAAAAATAAATAATATATTTAAACTTAAAATATGTTAATAAATAATAATTTATTTTATATTAGTTAATAAATATCAACAAAGGTTTTTTAGTAAAGTTTAATATTAAAGTTTCAAATAATTAATATTATTTTTAAATATAAAATAACATTTTTTCCTCATCTTAATTTTGTAGGTTTATTTTTTATAATTTTTTTATAAAATAAAATGTTTTATTTTAGTTATTTTCACTTAATAGTTTAGATGAAAAAAATACTTTTTTATGATAAAAATTGATGTACTTAAACTGTGTATATTAAATGGATCAAACTAAATATTCATAAATATCTGTAAATATCCGCAAATATCCGTAAATATCTGCAAATACTTGTATATTTTCTGGATATCCAAAAATCCGGATATCCGTATATTTTCGGAGCAATTCAAATCATAAAATTAAATATCTGTTAAAAACAGAGCAAACCACAAATACTTAAAAAATTCTAGATATCCGATCCGCGTGTTGGGAGGATTTGATGTCAACCTGACATTACACTTAGGTTTAGAATAAGAGATGCATTGTATTTGTACATTGGAGAGGGTTACTTACATATTCGACAATTTTCGTTTACATTATTTACATTAACAAAATCAGCGAAAATGAGTTTAGGAAAAGAAACACAAGCAAAAAATTTATGAAGATTTCCTGCATTAAACTGTAACAGCTACAACAGGTTTCATCATGCTTAAATCGTTAGCAATCAGAACAAGATCACACCACTCAACTTTACCCCAAATCTCTCCTCCTTGACGTCTTTCCAATGATATCTCCGCACACCAAATCTCTCCTTTAGGGTTAGAAAACAAAGCCATTCTCCCACCATAACTCACAATTTTAATGTCCCGCCACTCTTTGATCTCAACCAACAAATTTTCCAAACCATTCACCACTCCCCAACATCTCTGCTTTGGATCATACGCTCTTAAACTCTTCTCAACCCTATCGTAGTAATACAATACGTCATCAACCAAACACGCATTGTACCACTTCTTTAAATGCAGCATCTCGTCCGTTTCCCATTTATTTTCCTTTAGCTCGTAAACAAAGCTTTTATAAGAATCCCTCGTGTACAGCTTACCAGCCATCACCACACAGCCAATCCACATGTAGATGTTTGGGTTTATCATCGCAGGCTCCTCCCACTTTTGTGTTTCTGTATTGAACACCACCATCACCTTATTCCAGCCATCAATTACGTAGATTCTCCCGTCTATGATGCCAGAAATTGTAGCAGACACTGGCACAGGCACGCTCGGGAGAGCTTGCACCGTGTGAGATCTACAATCGATGGCTAGGGGCCTTAGGGCACTCGTTGTGCTACTGTGACGGTTAACCCCACCAAACACATATATCCTAGAACCCACCGTGACCAAGCTTGCAAAATTAGGCACAGCAGGAAGCGAAGGGATAAGGACCAAGCGGCCACTGCCATTGGCTTCCCGGCGGAGAATATGCAAACGGTAATCATGGGTTTCAGGAGTACAGAGGGAAACATAGAGAAAGTGTTCGGTGCAGCCTAACAAGGATCGCCTCGCGTATATCTCAGAGGATGCAACTAATGATCGGAAGTGCTTTGAAACGAGAGAGAGTGTTTGATAGTCGCATATGGGCACACGCGCTAAGATGTCGACTATAACTTCTTCGGGAAGTAACGTGATCAAAGACGGCGATTGCTTCTTCTTCTTCACTGCCCTAGTTTTGGAAGCCATATTGTGTAGTTTTTTCACGAGGAAAACTCAAAACCCTAATTGTAGGCTTAAATCAACAATCACCTAGAGATAAAATAAACCCCCTAATCCGCGATCTTCTCTGGGACTCTGTCTGCTAAATATCTCCAGTTCTTGGTTTAAATAAGACCTTGTTCTCTTTTTCTTTTCCTTTTTTCTCTTATACACTTTAACATTTTCCTTTTCTGTACCTTCTTCCTTTTTTTTTCTTTTTGTAACATCTACCTTTTTATTTATATAAGATATCCAAGACTACATAAAATTTGCAAAAATAAAAATACAAAAAACAATAAAACTAAAGTTAGCAATACTTTTCGCAGAAAATATTTATTCGCATTTCATTTCGATCTTCATCTTTAATTATGCACATAACTATACTAAACATCTTTTTGTATAATATTGGCCAATTTCCAATTTAAATCTAAATATATTTTTGTTGTGTTTCACTTTCTGGCCTGGTTGTTGCTCGAGGTTTTCGTTGTGCAGTGTTCTTCAAACTTTGTGATGTTCTAATGAGTATCGAGAGTGAAAGAATGCTTCTCATATGTAAAACTTTTGAGTACAGTTTCATTTTGTTTTAAATGATTTATCATTAGAGCATGATAGTGGTGGACTGGTTTTATATGTCCATTTCAGTGATGGGTAATTTAAGTTTGAACCTAAATCGGTCTAATGAATTCCAAAACTGAATAAATGGGGAACATAAACCAAACTGGATTCTTAACACAAAAACGCAAACGCAAACCCATCAGAGGAGAGTTTTGGTAAAATAGTATAAGTCGTTGAAAAAACTATTGATATAGTGCCAAGCTACTTTTGCCTATTTTGTTGTGTCATATGATTTGGGTGATCAATGTAATTTCATGTCACCATTTGGAGCTAGAAAACTTCGAAGTCTTTATTATTTGAGAAGCTCGGATTCGACTAATTCCAGCATCAATTTAAGAACTATTCACGAGATTGTGTATTTTCAGTTGATAAACTAATTATGTGCTTTTCGGATTTTTAAATAACTATTTTACTTGAGAGTGTACATATATAGGATATTCACTAATAACACCATGTTAATTGAATTCGGGTTTATCAACTTTGTTTACATTTTTTTATAAAGTAAGACATTAGTTGTTTGTCAGATCTTATATTGTCTATGGTTATGTGAAATAATTTATAAGATTTCCCAAAATAGAATTATTATGTGTACTAACCATAAGCTTAGATAAGACAAACCAAACGAGATTATTATAGTCAACTTTCATTAGTTTGTTCTTAAAGTTTCTGGTCAGCCAGACTTACACAAGCACATTCTGTTTCTTGGTTTCATGATTTGATTGATCAAACAATATTTTTTTACGTTTTTCTTTTTCTCTAGCAATATTTTAAGAAGAGGAAAAGGTCACACTTATTAACGAGCACCGTTTATATTCTTCACAAAAAAGAAGAAAAAAAGGAATTGCATTATTAACGAATAAATGAATAGGCCAAAGAAAAATTATAATTACAAGGAACAAAATCTTATTACTTCGAGTAATGAAAAAAAAGTGGAATATGGTAGTATTTCACTGTTCAACCAAGAAAACAAGATCTCAATAATAACAGACCAAACTAGAATGCTGATAATAAATTGAAACTGATCCAAGAAGCTAGATGAATTCGATGCAACGTTTTAAAGAGGTGACGGTCCCATCTGGTACTGTGGAGCATTGGTCGGCGAATCAGCTACCGGAGAAGGTGAAGGAGACGGAGAGGATCTTGGTGATCTGACCGGACCTGGAACTGGAACAGCCACGGGACCCAACGAGGCCGGGAAGACGAGGATGTCAAGCTTTTGTCCTATGTCGCAGTGACCAGGAACACCACATATGAAGTGTTGGAATCCCGGTTTGGTTAGAGTCACCGTGTCAGACCCGGTTTGGTATGTCGCTAACGGTTTAGAAGGATCGCACAGCTCGAAATCATGGGGAGTGACTTGAGTGACGTCGTGAAACTCGTTGTTGTATTCGAAAACCAAAGAGTCTCCGACTTGAAAAGTCCTCGAAGAAGCCCAAGACCCGTAGTCGACGCCCATCATGGTCCATCCGTTGGAGTCGCCGACTTTGTGAACGGTTCCTCCGACGGAAACCCCAAGAAGTGCCACAAGAATCATCAAAGAAGTGAAGAAGGATTTGCTCTTGATCCAAGCCATGACTGATCGTTGTTTTTTTCTTCTTTTTTTGGAATAGAGAGAAATAAACAATGTTTGAGAGAGAATATGGAAGAGTTTTGAGTTTGTTTGGTGAGAAATTATGTGGGTACCTAAGAATGTTTATATAGAAGCAGAGAGGGTTCGATAAGAGATAATCCTTTCTCTTTTAGGATTTTGAAGATTTGGATATTTCCTTGTGATGTTTAGTTTGTTGATACTGTTCCGTTTATCAAAAGGAATACACAACGACCGTCTCTAAATTTCCTTTTTTTAGGCAGTTCTCATAAATTTCGAAGACCTCTAACATAAAGAATCAGAGAGCAGAAAGTTGGACGTGTTGAGTGGAAGGTCGATAAAGAACGAAAGTGCAGTCAGTTGCAAAGGAGCCTGGATTCAAACATGCTGTTTCCCCAATTTTGCACTCCTTTTGCTCACTCTTGTCACCTAACACTATCTGTTTTCAAACAAACAAACAAACAACAATCCTTTAATTTGTTCTAAATAAACTAAGGCGGGATTCAATCTATAACTAAAGAAGATTTCTGAATCTTCTACCGTATGAGGAGTTGGGTATAGCCGAAGAGAGTGGTCATAGTTCCAAATGATGGGCTGCACCATGAGAGGTAGAGGACATAGATGGCTCTGCTGAACTATTGTGCAGGCAAGCTGAACCAACACATTACACAAGTTTCAGATCACCCATCATTAAATCAAATCAAAAATAATTTGGAGTGGAGAGATGTGTTTACGTGCTCAAATGGGTCATCAGTTTCTTCAAATGAAGGTGTTATTAAGCATGAACGGCGCATCCGGTACACAAGATCCTGTCTGAAGAACACAATCTCCTGGTTGTAGAACTTTACTCTGCATTTTTTAAAAAAGACAAGATCATTGCTGCAGCTTTAGTTTGTGTTTAGGTCCATCTCAATAAATCATTCAAATGTTCAGATATATGGAGACTTCACCTGCACGGATTGCTTAGAATTATGGCATTGGGAATAACGTCCCGAAGCTCTTTGGTTAAATAGTTTGGTAAACCGCAACTTGGCAAGACTGTAGAGTGACATGCGTCGTCAGGACCTGGAATGAATAAAAACCGACTCTCTTCTTTCAGCCGTCGATGTTTCCCAATCATTCTCCCAAGTTCACCAAACTGCTGCCTGAAAATGAAATGCTCAAGAATATGTAACAACAGAATTTTGATGACAATCGAGGAGATTTTAACTACTGTGATCACTTCTTACCTCAGGCTTGAATAGCAAGCAAACGATAAGTTGCATGGGCGAGAGCAAAAGTTTCCCATCAAAACAAACAAAGTGGGCACTTTCTCGTCTCTTTCAAAACCATCAAGAACCGTTTCCAGCTTCCCAAGAACCTTCATTACGGAACAAGGCACATATTTTGGTCGATCAAGCAAATTTTCTTTTAAAGCACAAAACACAAAGATTGATGCTAAAACACAGTAGTTGGTACCTCTTCGTCGTCCAGCCATATGTCAGACAATATAACAAACGATGACGACTCAGGGATTACCATCTCTTCTTGCAAGCTACCTCCGAAGAAGTCGTATTCAGAATGTGTCTTTAGTGTTTTAATCCTCTCTTCTAAAGGAGGAAACCCGCATGTAATCACCTTTACCCAAGACATTGAGAAGAAGCTTTTAGAAGAGGGGACGAGTTAGTCAAAGAATGTAATCTTTTGAACCTTTCAGACTCTAGTTTTACCTGAAAGATACCGTTCTTCATTTCACCATCTGCCAAAATTATGGTATTCTCTGTGAAAAAACCAGTGGTTATCTTGTACTGATTGTCAAAGAAAAGTAGTCACAAAAATAACTCAAAATGTATGAAACTGTGAACTATTTTGTGGAAAACAGAAAGGATATTGCTTTGGACAAATCAATCTCTACAGAAGCAGAAAGGTCTTCGAGGTAGAAATGTCCATCCTCAAGCTGTGAAATCATGCCCATCACCCATTTTCTTCCCACTTGAAACATTAGAGACTGTACCGAAGATATCTACAAGAAGAAAAAACTCTTTAACACAAAATGAAAACATACATTTAACTTGGAAGCTCAAAAAAAAACCAACCTCATGCTTCTTGATCTGCGTCGTGTCAGAGTCAAACTCTGGCCTGGAAAAATACTCTGAGCGAGAGACTCTCTGCTTCAGTAACATGAAACGTTCTCTGTACAATTCTGTTTTCGCAGATGCCTCACCGTGAACAAGAGGAGGCATATCCCTGAAAACAATATAAACTTATATTCCAATCAAAGAACAATAATGGAGTAACAGAAGTAGAAGCAGACTTACTCGAGGATGATGAACCGCTTCGTGACAGCATCATAACGATACTTTGGCACCATAAAAGCGTCGATGAACAACAACGAAGAAGCGCTCGTCGTGGATTCTTCTTTCGCCGAGCCAAGACATCTTTGAATCGATTCCGCATCGACTGTGGAGAGTTCAAGTGCAAAAAAAATTCGCAAGATCACACAACTCTATATCATGAGAATCAATAATAAGTATTCGATAATGTGCATACACGATTCCTTCTGGAGGAGATTGAGAAGTTGGTCGATAGCTTCGTGGGGAAAATGATCGGCTTCTTCATCGGCGTCTTGTTGGAAATGGTCGGCGATTAGGTCTAGGTCACCGACTTTGAGGTGGTATCCTCTGTTTTTGAATTTCCTCTGTATCTTCTTCTTCCTCCTCTCTCTCTCTCCGATGGTAGACATTCTCGCTACCTCTCTTTCTCTCAATCTCTGAAAAGTGAAAACCCTCATTTCTTTATTTTTCGGGCGGAAGCTTCTGAAAATCCCCGAACCGGCGGGAAACGAATACCGAAATTCGAAAGCTTAACCGGGGTGGGTTTAGGATCTTCGATGATTCTATAAATAACCGATTGGATAATTTAAATATTGGGCTTGTCCATGGACAAACCATTTTCTTGCGGACTGGGCTTCAACCATGGTTGGCCCGACCAATTGATAGGGATATGTTTTTAAGCGCTGCATTGTTATTATAAACCTAGCAGTGGAATTTCAACAATAGTTATTAGGTTTTGTTTTTTCTGCTTATATGTTTTACGTGATACTTCTAAGCATATTCATGACTAATAATTATATTACTTCGGTCATAAAGGTGTATTTTTTTTATAAAAAAAATAGTAGCTTTTTATTTTTGAACTTTTTTGAAAATTGTTGCTTCAGAAGTCGTTCTTTCTTTGCCTTGGGTCCAACACAATGCTTGATGCACTAAATGGTCCTTACGTCTACAAAAAAGTCTAATATTAACGGAGCTATCTCAAGTTTGGTCCTAACTTATACATCCCTGTGGCCCAAAACAGTAAACGAATTGTGAACCAGAAAATAAATATTCGATGCTTTAGAGTGCAAGTCAGTCAACCACAGGCATACTTGGTCCAATATTGATTGGGTTTTTACGAAAAATCAAACAGCAAATATTTGGCTAGTTTACATTTCTACTAGTTCAAATCAGTATATCAATTGTGAACCAAACAGACAATCATTGATCCTAGAGTCAACTTGAGGCATATATAGTTGATCAAACCCAATAAAGCCTATTTTTTTAAGGTAACATTTTTGACCCTAGCTTTAAAGTCTCGTATGTTTCTTCTTTTTTTGCTACTTTAGCTTTAACTGAATTTCATTTAGTCATAATTATCATATGACCTAACAGCATTTTGAACTTCTATCCAACATATCAAACCAGAAGAAATGTTATTTCATGAATTTTTAGTCAATCATTTTGCCCATCTGGCCTAGAGTCGCTATTCTAAAACTGTAAATAAAAAAATAAAATAAAAATCAGCCGCCGGCGTTTAAGGATGAATGTGTAGAGTTGATTGATACGGAAGAACAAACTAATGATTCGGATACAGTTGCTTACGGAACACTCACGCCGCCTCTCTTTTGCATATGTCCTATTTATTTATATATATTTTTTTTCATATTTGTTCTTCTTTTATGTATACTTTCACTTTTATATTTCATTTGGAGAATTTAATAATACAAGAAAAAGAGATCTCTGATTTTGCTCATGTGATTGATGACTAAAGTCATGACAAGTTAATAGACACGTGCTGTAAATGAAGATGCATGCACTTCTTCACTTCCTCTTGCTTTCAAATTTCAACGGATAAAACGTCTTAAATAAAGAATATTCTAGGTCTTTCCGAAACGTATTAACGACTTTTTAGTTTAAAGTAATACTAGTAATACACTATTTTGAGTAATTACGTTTTTTTTTTGGCATTCTGTAAAAAATTCAATGAGTATGTATAATTTATAAAGTGTATCATATTTAAGTTTGGTGTTAGTGGTAAAAGATTGTTATATACAAGATTATTTTGATGTTTTCTTTCAATTGATTTTCGAGTAAAATACAAACTGAAACCGATACTGCATTTGTATACCCAGTAGGTCGGGATGTCACCCGGGTTGATCCGGTCTACTTTGTCACGGGTTTATCGTTCGCAGGTTGGTTCAATTTGATTTTTGGAATTCGTAGATTGAGAAACCTGTGTAATTCGAGGATTAGACGGAGTAACCGATAACTGAAAATGAAATATACTTAAAACATTATGCTTTAAATTAAAACTAGAGCAACAACAGATTAGAGAAAACGTTGAATGGTGTTTTGGAATTGCTGAATTTTGAAGTTGAAATTGAATAATTAAGTTGGAGATGGTCCAAAACTTTATTACAGACTTTCAACTTTGATCGTTTAATAATGGTAAGAGAGGATAAGGTTTGATTTTATTTGTTATTACTCATTAGAAAGTTTCAGATTTTGGATTCATAATCTTAACCAACTTTTGATAATATATGTGGCACATTCGTAAATTAGTTCTCCTCAAGCGTATCACTACTATAGATTCAAAAGTGATTTCCATAGCACTGAACAAATTTTATAACCGGTTGAGATTTACATTCTTGGATAACTTATTAACTTATGATAATTTCTAAACGTGATTTTTAATACATTTACTCTTTTTTCATTTCAGTTAAATAAAAAAAGAGGAAACTAATTAGGTCATATATTCAAACCGCCCAGTTGAATCAAAATTGGCCAAACAAATTTAGGTTGTCACTGGCCGGTCCAACAATGAGAAGAAATTATCATCCAGACGGTTATATATAAAGATATACTACTTGAGTTTGAATTTCATTAAGGTCAAGTGAAGATTAAATCAAAGCTGTTCGAATTAGGCCTCGTGGGGATTTGCTTTCTCCCAAGTTGAAATTTGTCGGAATTATAGAAAAGCATCTAGTCTTGTTATTTGTATTAAACGTCATTATTATTATATTTTGCTAAAACGTCATTATTTATAATAATAATTTAGTACGTTCCTTTTATATTGGAAAATGTTGATGCATGCATGCTCTGTTAGATGGCTAATGCAGACAAGTTGATTGGATAAATAATATTACGAGAAAATAGAAAAAAGATCTGTCAGTTTTGGTAAAACGGCAGTAAAATATCAAAATCATTTTTTTAGTTGAAAGAACCAAAAAATTCTGTAGCAAAGCTACTACTATATTACAATACAATTTCTATTCAGTATACCTACTGTGTGTATTAGATAGAATTAATTCCATCATTTCTAAATGCAGTTGGTTTGCACTGTATTTTTCTGAAAGTTGTTAGTTTTTTTTAAAAAATAATTTGTCAGTTAAAATACGCGACTACACAACACATCTGAAACTAACAGTAAAATACGACTTATGGTTAGTTATATTTCTAGACTTTTGCAAGATTCATAGAATAACGAACTTGACGTGAATAATGAAGTGTTAGTGTTAGTGTTACATATACCGTTTGTGTGTGTGTGTGTGCAAAGTGTTACATATACCGTACTACTACTTATTTTCAACATGATTATTTGTTAATTTTGATTTGTAGTAACAATTCTTAATAGCCATATAAAAGTATAAATATTTATAATGTTTAAATTTATGCTTTAGTCAAATGTGAGAAACTTTTAATAAAAAAAGGTGAGAAACTGAAAATATTTTAATTTAGTATTGGCATGAGTTTAATTTTTCACCTTTAAAAGAAAACTAATTTTTTATTTACCATAGATTCCAATCCAAAGCAAAAATAGGGTTCAACACATCTTCTAAATATGTATAATGTATAGCAAAATGTTCATATGGTTAATTTGGTTTGAGGATTAAACTCAAACACTAATTTGATAATATTAATAATTAGATATGGGACCGCGCTATATCAAAAATTCAAAATAACAGATCTTTCTTACCTTTAGCAAGTTGATCAGTTATTATTATTTCCACCCAGAATTAAATATTACTGAACTAATTAATCAGAATTGAATCTACTAAATTTATCATAGTTATCCTAAATTTCGTGGGGACATTGAATCGCATGCATGTTTGAGGGATTTGCTGTAAAATAAATTAGTGGCCTACAAGAACAATAAAAGAATTATATATGGAGTTTTTTTACCATTGACCTTCGCTATAAGCAGGGCTAGGGTCGGACATTATAAAGTGACACTATAATTAAAAATTAAACATAAAAGGGAATTAAAGAGAGTGTTCATGCACCGTCTCTCTTATTAGTTAATAACTTAACTTAATATTAATTATATACTATCTTATTTTCAAGTTGTGAAGTCAGATTACTAAATTACATTCCAGTGGTCCACTATCACAAACCCTCGCTCCAATTTAATATAGATGTACACATTCTTTTCAATATTTAGATTTTGTTGGTTGAACACACACAAAAAAAAAGATTTTGTTTTGCTCTGTGGTTTAAAACAATAAACGAGGAATTAATGAGAACTGGAAGAAAAAAAAAAAAACGAAGAATGGGAAAGTGAAACAAAATTAAGAGTCTTAATAGATCAGTCTAGTTTGTTAGAGATCTTAAGACCAAAAGGATGATAACTAGTCTGTAAAATTTGAAACTGAAATTATCTAGAATTTTGAATATTATTTTATGGCCTTTTATTCTAAAGAATATTATATTGTATATGATTTTTTTTTACAAAATTTCCACAAAATCAAAATCAAATCAAATATTTCAGAACTTTAATATTACTAAAAAGTTCAGAAATGGGGTATAAATGATTTAGAACCTTCACTATTCGAGCAAACAAAAAAAAAGACTTACTAAAGTTATCTTATAAGAACAACCTAAAGTCTGTCACATTTTTACATTTTTGTTTTCAAATATTTTAGTTTTGCATACCCTAATACTACTTGTTTTTGCTATAACTTGAGAGATTTTTTATTTAAAGTTTGGAGACTCGATGTCTGCATTTAGTCCTTGATTTTTTTTTTTTTTTTTTTTTTGCTAAAGGTGCATTAAATCCTTGTTTATTGTTAATGACGTCCGAAGTAGCATGACAGAACGTATTACGTTTGATAACTTGTGATGTCCATTTTTCCATATGATGCATCTAGTAATAAGATTTTCACTAATGTATCATGTATGTCGCATCTCGGCATCTGCTATTACTGAACATGTTTTGGATGCCTTGCATTACTATTGAACTTGTACTCATGAATTAGATAAACTTAAACTTATGCCGTGTGATTGACGGCAAAACCTATGTCGCTTACATATATTTTATTAAAATCGTAAAATCAAGTCGTCTGTTATTAGACATGTCATAACCATCTCGTACAGAGATATCAAAGGTCACATATTTATAAACAAGAGTACTTATTGAGATAAATAAAGA